TACTCCAGCGTGGGTGACAGAATGAGACCCTGTCTCAAAAACAAAACAGGGAGTTGAAAAAATAGGAAAAATAAACATTTGAATATAAAGAAACATTAGACAGGAAACCAGTTCAGCTGGCTGCCTGTAGGGACCAGATGGGAGCAGGAGGAGTAAGTTCTTAAGGTAAACTTTGATATATTATTTTGGTTTTTGGGACATTAAGAAGGCTTTGCCTATTCAAAGCAAAAATAAATGAATCTTAAATGATAGAAGCAAACAAACCAAAAGAGAAAGGGAATTGAAAACTTTTTTTTTTTTTTGAGACAGAGTTTCACTCTTGTTGCCCAGGCTGGAGTGCAATGGTATGATCTCGGCTCACTGCAACCTCCGCCTCGTGGGTTCAAGAGGTTCTCTCACCTCAGCCTCCCGAGTAGCTGGGATTACAGGCGCATGCCACCATGCCCAGCTAATTTTTGTATCTTTAGTAGAGATGGGGTTTCACCATGTTGACCAGGCTGATCTCAAACTCCTGACCTCAAGTGATCCACCAGCCTCAGCCTCCCAAAGTGCTGGGATTACAGGCGTGAGCCACAGTGTCCAGTGAATTGAAAACTATTGACCTAGTCAGTAGTTTTGGCAAAACCCCGTCTCTACTAAAAATACAAAAATTAGCCAGATCTGGTGGCAGGCCCCTGTAATCCAGCTACCTGGGAGGCTGAGGCAGGAGAATCGCTTCAACCCAGGAGGTGGCGGTTGCAGTGAGCCAATATCGCACCACTGTACTCCAGCCTGGGTGACAGAGCAAGACTCCGTCTCAAAAAAAAAAAAGAAAACTATTGACCCAGTTTAGTGTTTTTCAACTTGGGGGCGTCTGTGGTTGTCTTAGGAGCTGAGGGGTGATTCTGTGGGCAGGGCCAGAGATGGTAAATGCCCTGCTGTTGGCTGGCAGTGCTGCAGCTGACAAATGCCAATGGCATGCAACCATTTTCTTGTCTAGATGGGGAGACCGAGGCTAAGTGGGAAATGCGAGACAGTACCTTGACTGTCTCTCAGGCCTCTTGCCTCCTGGTTCCAGTGTGATGGGGTGGGGCCCAGCCAGGTAGGGCAGGCAGGCAGCAGGTTAGAGACCCCCAGGACTGTTGGCCAACAAGCAGTCTGGCCCCCTTGCAGGAACACCAGACTGTTGTCTACCAGATGATCCAGCAGATCCAGCAGAAACGGGAGCTGCAGCGCCTGCAGATGGCTGGGGGCTCCCAGCTGCCCATGGCCAGCCTGCTGGCAGGAAGCTCCACCCCGCTGCTGTCTGCGGGCACCCCTGGCCTGCTGCCCACGGCGTCTGCTCCACCCCTGCTGCCCGCTGGAGCCCTAGTGGCTCCCTCGCTTGGCAACAACACAAGTCTCATGGCTGCAGCAGCTGCAGCTGCAGCAGTGGCAGCAGCAGGCGGACCTCCAGTCCTCACTGCCCAGACCAACCCCTTCCTCAGCCTGTCGGGAGCAGACGGCAGTGGCGGTGGCCCCAAAGGAGGGGTGAGTAAGGGGCCCGGGGCTTTTCTGCCTCCCCTCTGAGGGACGGGTAGAGATGGATTGTCAGAAGGCTTATCAGGTGCCTCAGCAGGGGGAAGGAAGCAACCCCTAGGTCAGCGAAGTGCCCTGCCTCAGACCCCAGGGCCTCTGCTTGCACATGGGTGCCCTCCTGCAGGGCCAAGAGAGATCCAATCTGAGCATGGGCTCAGAGGAAAAGGACCAATTAGAAAACAGGCTTCCTCCAGGAGGACCAATTAGAAAAAGCCATTTTGTTTCTGAGCAGACCAATTAGAAAAAGATGACCCTCTGGGTAGGCCAATGTCAGAAAGGCCCTCTCTCCCCCTCCTGAGGGCACACAGCCTTAGCTGGCACATGCCTCCGCTGCCCGGTGCTCTTCTGCAGGATGGTTTCACACCCCTGCGCATCGGCCCTGGCGTGCACGCCTCAGAGCGCAGTCCAGAGGCTTCCATTGGCCCCGGTTCAGCACCCCACAGCAGCTTTCTTGGCCCAGGAAGCTGTTCTTATCTCGGGGTTAGGACCTGACACTTTCCGCACCCCCGGCCTCCCTCCTTCTCTTTCCAGACCGCTGACAAAGGAGCTTCAGTCAACCAGGAAAAAGGCTAAATCCACCCTCACCCCTCCTGACCCCCCAAGTGGAGGGAGCAGATCCTGGCCTGTGGGGTCCTAGCCTGGAGCAGGCGCCTGCGCCCAGTCCCTGGAGAGCCCTGACCCAGAGCCTGTGCTGAGGTCCAGGGAGTGTGGGGAGCTCCTGGTGCCAAGGACTGAGACTGAGAGGGGAGCCCCTTCCATCTGGCCCCCTTCCCTTTCCACACTGTCCGCTTTGTGAGGCTCAGAGGAAGGACAGGCTGCAAGCCCGCCTAGGAGCTCCACCCCTAGCAAATATTTTGGAGGTCCCCCCTCCCCAGAGCAGAGTGGGCCATGGCAGAAGTAGGGGGTTGGTTGGACCTGTCACATGAAATGGATCAGCACTTGAATGGGGAGAAGTGGAGGGAGAGGCCATGGGCCTTTCCCTGCGGGGAAATCTTTTACGGAAGAAGGGCTGGACCCACTTTACCTGCAGTTTCTTCCCAGCTCGGGCAGATGGCAGAAGGGACCCCTTGGACTTTATCTCGCCATCCCTCCCCCAAGTGCAGGGGCACAAGCTGAGCTTGTAAAAGCCCACAGATGTCGGGGGCCGGAGAAGGGGCAGGAGAGCATCACACTCAGTCCCAGCTGCCTCAGCCTCTTGGGGCCCCATGATGGGGAGGAGAGGGCAGGTGCGGGGAGGCTCCAGCCTTCCTTGGTGCCCCGCCCTTTGTTTGCACTATTGGACTTAGGAGTGCCGAGGGTGGGGAGATGGAGCTGCCCGACTCAGTGTGTGAGTGTGTGTGTGTGTGTGCATGTGTGTGTATGTGTGTGTGTCTGTCTGCCTGTCTCTCACCCCTGGACCCAGGGCAGCCAAGGGTAGGGATAGGCGCAGTGGTCAGATGAAGCAGCGCCAGAGAGGGGACCTCCTAGCTCTTATTTGCACCCTCCCCACCTCACCACCTTTGCTCCCTCTCTGGGGGCATGAGTGGTTAACAAAAACCAGAGTAGTACTCCAATATTGGAGAGTCACCGGGGGCTCGGGGCTTTGAATCAGGGTAATATCCTGCCTTCCCTCCCCCATGGTCTCAGGGCCCCCTTAGGGCCCCTACCCCACTGATAGCTTCGTCCTTCTCTGGCACAAGGGGAGCCCCAGGGCTTGGGGGAGGGGGTAAGGTGGAGGGAAATGCCACTGCTTTTAGCAAAAGCCTCCCTTCCAGAATTAACCAGCCTGCCTCCTGCACCCCACCCCCACCAACCAGGGGAGCCACTAAGCTGACGTAACAACTGTCCCCTACCCACCAGCTATTTCCCCAGGGTAGAGTGGGCAATTCTTACCTTCAAAGAGTCCCCGCCTGCCCAGGCCGTTGGCCCAGAGGCTGAGTGGACGGTCAGGAGAGAGGCAAGAGGCAAGGCGAAGCCTGTGTCCCTGTTTCAGTTGCACTGGGGTTGGAGCCCAGGGTAGGGGTTTCCAGCTTCCCCAGGCTCCCGCCTTGTCAGTCTCTTTGCATGTGTGGATTTTTCTGTGTGTGTTTGTTTGGGTTTTTGTTGTTGGGTTTTTTTTCTTTTTCTTTTTTTTTTTAATAAAGAAAAGAAGATGTGTATATTTTTGGCAACAACAGAAACGTAGTGCAGATATATTTTTGCCTGTGCTGCTCAACTGTTTTTTTTCTGATACTGAAAGTAATATTAATATTCCTGTTGATAAGACTTTGTAAGATGTTAGGGAGCTGATAATGGAGGGGGTGGGAATCCTTCAAAGGCAATTTCTTAGGCACTTGCAAGGGCTTGGGGGAGGGAGAGGCAGTTGTGATGACCTCAGAAATACTCACTTTCTATTAATGCTAAATATGTTAGAAGTGATAGAATTCAGCATTTTATTCATCTTAATCTATTAAGCTGTGTAACTCCCTGCCCCAAACCACTGAAAAGAAAAGTAACCTTCAGGCCAGGCCCGGTGGCTCATGCCTGTAATCCCAACACTTTGGGAGGCTGAGGCGGGCGGATCACCTAAGGTCAGGAGTTCAAGACCAGCCTGGCCAGGCCAACATGGTGACACCCCATCTCTACTAAAAATACAAAGAAATTAGCTGGGTGTGGTGGTGCACACCTGTAGTCCCAGCTACTCGGGAGGCTGAGGCATGAGAATTGCTTGAACCCGGGAGGCTGAAGCTGCAGTGAGCTGAGATCGTGTCACTGCACTCCAGCCTGGGCGACAGAGTGAGACTGTCTCAAAAAAGAAAAAAAAGAAAAGTAACCTTCAGAGATTCTTAGAAGAGTTGCTCATTCACACCCACGCCCTTGCCCAAGGCTGGCCCACTTAGAGCGAAACTTAACTTCTGTCTGGATGGGAAGGGAAGTAAATCTACCCTGAGGCTGCCATGTTGAAGAGTGAGAGGTCCAAGTGATTCTGTGCATTGAAACCAAGATACCCCACCCCCGCCCAATACTTCTTCCCTCCCTCAGCTCATCTCCAAGTGTCTGTTCTCCAACTCTCCCAAGCCGCTTGCATTCCCCAGACTGGGCGACTGTGGTTAGATTTGAAGACAGGGCCCAGGCTGGGTATGAATTGATGCAGCCCTCTTCTCTTTCCCCCGTCTCTCATGAGAGAGGTAGTGGCATTTCCTTCTTCTCAGGGAGCTTCAACGGGAAAGGTCTGGAAAGCTTCAGGAGGAGCAGAATACCAATGCAGGGGGATGGCTGTAACGATCTCACCCTCTCCTAACCTCAGTCCCTTTTACGAGAGTGAATTTGGATGGTGGAGGGTGGGAAGGGACCCAGATTTGTAGATCTCTTTGTCTGGGGGAGGGGAAGGATGTGGTTTGCAGAGCGGAAGCAGAGTTTGGAAACGCATGAGAGCAGAGCTTCGTGTGTTCCCACCCTCAGTGAGGAGGTGTGAGTGGGTGAGCATGTGGAGTCGGGTGTTCCCACCCTTGGTGAGGAGGTGTGAGTGGGGGTGCATACGGAGGCAGTGCCTGCTGTGGGGTCACAACTGGTGCATGCCAGCGCTGAAGGGACCTGTCTTTAGGGGTCATTTCAGCCAGCCCCTCCCATCACAGATGACAGCTCCAAGCCTAGAAGGGGCTCAGTGACAGGGCCAGGACCAGCCCTCAGGACTGTGGCCTCCTGGCCCTTGGTTCCCAGGGCATGGTCTCCACATGGCTGGCTGGCTTGCTGTCCCTGTGTGTGTGACACACAGTGTGAGTGCAGGGCTGTGCCTGGGGTGGGAGGGTGTCTATGTGGCACTGACTGTCTTAGCTCAGAGCTAGTGGATCCTCTCCATGGACAATGACACTTTAAGGATTGTCTAGGTTCGTTTTTCCTATTTGTGGGGCTTTTTCCCCCTCAGGCTCCTGGGTCTGCGCTGCCTCAAGGTGTCCTGACTTTGAGGCTGATGAGGGGACCCCTGCCCATTTCCCCCATACTGAGTTCTAGGGAGGTGCTCACCCCAGACTCTCAGGAAGGGTCTAGAGAAATGAGAGGAGCCCAAGCTAGGGGCCAGCTCTGAGAAAGGGTAACCTCCACGCTTCTCTTTCCCAAATTGGAAATGAAGACAGGTTTTCAAAGGCACAGGCTTCCCCTGCCACCTTCTAGGATCTTCCTTGGTGTGCAGTGGGCCAGTTAGGGGTGGGCAGCTTGCACCCAGTTCTCCTTTATCTCAACTTATTTTCCTGGGCAGAGGTGCCTAGAGAGATTGAGGTAACTTCAACTGGGAATTCTGAGGAAGGTGGGCAAGTAGCCTTGGCTCTCTCCTGCCATGGCGACCCAGATTGAGAGTGTGTCTAGCTCCCGACCACTTTGTCTTGACCTACTGAAAAGTTGGGAACTGAGGGGTGCCTTCACTCCCCTTTGTTCACTTTCTCCAGCTCAACTTGGGACTGGGGTGGTGGGACTGGAGACCCCACCCCTGCTCCCATCCCGCCCCCTTTCTATCCCAGCCTGTTTCCATGTAGCAGACCCTTCCTAGGGAGCAGGGAGGGGAAGCCACAGATTGCAAACCCAGGGGCTCCTTTTTCATTCTTTCTAAAACCTTGATATCCTCAGCCCAAAGGCGATGCCCCCTGCCACCTCCAAGCCTGGAATTGTGCATAACCCGGATCTTGTATCTTTGTATAACGGATGTTATTTGTACGAAGGGCAGTTCGTAAACAGCACTTGTTCTTTTAATAAAAGAATGTTTTGCAAAAAAAAAATCCGAAGAGTCCGTGCGTGGTCTGGCTTTATGGAAAGGGACAGGAGGTGGGTGCCAACTGCGGGAGGGTAGGAGGGCGTGGGCTGCGGCCCTTCTGTCGGCACTCAGCGGCAGAGCGCGCACAGACGCGAATGCTCAGCACACCCGGGCCCAGCCCACAGGGTGCATCAATCCGTGGACACCGGCCGTCGGGACCCTGACCCGTCCCGAGGTGACGCGACGCCCGCGTACTCGCTCCCAGAAGCGCGGCTGAGGCTCGGCCAGCAACAGCGAATCCTGGGAAGGTCCCGTGCCCTCGCGGGTGCCCCAGGCGCTGAGGCTGTGCG